TTACTCATCTCATACTGTATTCTACTCTCTTAGTCTATGCTGCTCTGACATTGCTCGTCCATATATTTATTTATACATTCTTAATTCCATTGCTTTACTTAGATGTGTGTATATGTTGTGAAATTGTTAGATATTATTTGTTACGCGATATTAGTGCACTGACGGAGCTAGAAACACAAGAATTTCGCTACACCCACAATAACATCTGCTAAGCACGTGCATGTGACCAATAAAATGTGATTTATTGTACAGTGTCCAAAACATTAAGAACACCTGCTCTTTGACATCCACACCGACCAAGGTTTCCACTCAGTTTCAACCTGTTGCTTAACTTCTTTCTTCAAATTGATCAATCACAGTGAGGTGAGTTTTAAAAGCATTACACTGTTTTGCTGATAAGTGTTTCATGTGATTATGTTTTTTTGATTGCATTGATTTCAGAGTGGTTAGAGGGACAATAGAGTGCTGAGTACCAGACCACTAGCAACCTGACGGTCGTTGGCGAGTTGGGTACTACCAACGCATGTCCAGAGTGCATAAGAGGAGATTACCGTGACTCGACGTGACCATTGAATTTGACTGCGGTCATGACTAATACAGTCACTGCAACAGCCCTATGTGCGAAGGCATGTTTTCGATTAGACAGAGCATTTGGGCAGCATCGTAGCATTTCCCTCACAAGTCAAAAGGGGACGTTCAATGAGCAAATGGAATGCGATGGAATTGGAGTCATGATAAGGGCTAGGCTACATAACAAAAGCACTGATTGATTGTGGCCCCATTGAAAGGGCCCTTGGCAATGGGGCTTGGGGACAGAGCTTTGAATGCATGCATGGGCCCCAGGGGAAAGAGAGGGCTCCTTCTTGGGTCACCCTTCTGGGTCTCAGCAAGCCCTTGATCATGGCTCTCAGGACCATTACATTACACATAAGTCATTGGACGAAGGGGTCTTCTGTAGGGAGGGGTTTTTGTTAAGAGCCACGACGATCGGTCTGAACATTAAAACGGCATTGCTTGCGGAATAGTTTTGGAAGCATAAAGAACCTTATCTTTCATAACGGCGAGAAATACTTTTCAAAAAACAAAAAGGTTAAATTGATACACCTTTATAGGGTTCCCACACGGCCATATGTTCATGTTACAGCACTAGTTTACAGAAAACAGACAGTGGACTACCTGTGCTAATTAGCTAGCTGCATCTCCGAACACCTGTGTGGAAACTGAAGACAGACGCCACAAACATGTTGTACCTGAAAAATACCGTCGGCTGCAACTGTGTTAAAACAGTGTACAGCAGAGTTGTGGACGCGAGTCACAAATTTGATGATCTGAGACTCGACTTCATATAAAATAAAATAAACTTGAGACGTGACTTGGACCCTCAAGACTCGGGACTCGACTTTGACTTGAAGTTATCTGGCCAGGTTTGTAAAAAAAAAAAAAAAAAATCATTTTGTGGCAAAGCCTCCGTGGATTAATTGTTTGGTGATCAGGAATTTTAACTAATTACTTTGCAAGCTCACCAGCAATGGGGCATCAAGCAACAATTACTAGCATAGGCCTACTGTTCTTTTGGTATGTCAAATTTGTCTTATGACGCATGCATTTGGAATTTGTTGCTAAAATGAACTACTGTGGCAAAGACACACCAAAGGCGCGTCTCTCCACTAGCGCTCGCCAAACTCCCGCCAGTGCAGTGCCTTGCTCGCTTTCACATGTTTAAAATGCATAAAGTGCATTCGGAAAGTAGTCAGACCCCTTGACTTTCTCCACATTTTGCTACGTTACAGCCTTATTCTAAAATTGATTAAATTGTTAAATGGCCTGATTGGTGGAGTGCTGCAGAGATAGTTGTCCTTCTAGAAGGTTTTCCCACCTCCACAGAGGAACTCTGGAGCTCTGTCAGAGTGACCATCGGGTTGTTGGTCACCTCCCTGACCAAGGCCCTTCTCCCCCAATTGCTCAGTTTGGCCGGGCAACCAGCTCTAGGAAGAGTCTTGGTGGTTCCAAACTTCTTCCATTTAAGAATGATGGAGGCCACTGTGTTCTTGGGGACCTTCAATGCTGCAGAAATGTTTTTGTACCCTTCCCCAGATCTGTGCCTAGACACAATCCTGTCTCTGAGCTCTACGGACAATTCCTTCAACCTCATGGCTTGGTTTTGCGCTGACATGCACGGTCAACTGTGGGAACTTATATATTTTTTACATTTACATTACATTTTAGTCATTTAGCAGACGCTCTTATCCAGAGCGACTTACAGGAGCAATTAGGGTTAAGTGCCTTGCTCAAGGGCACAGACAGATTTTTCACCTAGTCGGCTCGGGGATTAGAACCTGCGACCTTTCGGTTACTGGCACAACGCTCTTAACCACTAAGCTACCTGCCGCCCCATATAGACAGGTGTGTGCCTTTTCAAATCATGTCCAATCAATTTAATTTACCACAGGTGGACTCCAATCAGGTTGTAGAAATATCTCAAGGATGATCAATAGAAACAGGATGCACCTGAGCTCAATTTGGAGTCTCACAGCAAAGGGTCTGAATACTTATGCAAATAAGGTCTGTTTTTAGTTATTTTATAAATTTGCACACACAAAAAAAATCCTCAGACCTGCAAATACAATGATAGATTTATGCAATGCTTTTACTATAAAGGAGGAGCTCTTTCCACCCCTACTGTTGTCCACGATGGTCTGCGAACCTACAACCTTCTGGCCCGCAGCCCTGTGCGCTATCAGAATTTATGCGTTGCCATGTAGCCTAATGCTTACAGGACAAACAACAGTTTCTAAAACTGCAAATCTAAGGTTCTGGTCTGTCCAAGAAGTGAGGGTAAGCTCAGTGAGGGTATGTTCTCTGCTATCCACTTTGTTTTATTTATTATTTTGGGTATAGGGGAGCGCTCAGGGAGGGTATGGTAAGTGCTATCCATTGTCATTTCAGAGAGGTCCGATTTTCTCAAAGTAACACTTATTATAAATAAAGTTCACTCCCTAATCAAAATGTTGTAGACAAAATAATGAAAAGGGCCATCTGGTAGCCTCAATACATAGACAAAGATTTGTAGTTACACCCATGGGGCGGTGCACAATTGGCCCAGCGTTGTCCAGGGTAGGGGAGGGAATGGCCGGCAGGGATGTAGCTCAGTTGGTAGAGCATGGTGTTTGCAACGCCAGGGTTGTGGGTTCGATTCCCACGGGGGTATTAATTTTTTATTATAATGTATGCACTCACTAACTGTAAGTCGCTCTGGATAAGAGCGTCTGCTAAATGGCTAAAATGTAAATGTTGTGGGTTCGATTCCCACGGGGGGCCAGTATGAAAAATAAATTATGTATGCACTCACTAACTGTAAATCGCTCTGCATAAGAGAGTCTGCTAAATGACTAAAATGTTAATGTAGTTGAACAAGTTGTTGCATGTAACAATTATAATTTTTTGGGACTTGTGACTCGACTCGTTCTTAGAATGTGACTCCAGACTTGCTTGTGACTTGAATGATAGTGACTTGCTCCCACCTCTGGTGTACAGTAAGTGTACATTTGAAATGATTTTTGATGTGATATGAAAGTAGAGGGATTTATGTTTGAGAATCAATTCACGTTTAGATGGAACATTTGGCTGTTTTGGCTTCCAGAGTCAATTCGCCCTTTAAACAGAACATGTAAGGTCCTTTGACTATGGAGTCACATTAGGCTCCTTTAGTCCAATATTGGGATATGCCTCAGCTACATTACTGGATAACGACCAGCTGGACACACACACACACACAACCAGCTGTAGAGTCTCCCCTGTAGAGTCCTGTCCTCCCGTAATAACATAAGGCTAGTTATTATAAAATACTAATTGAGTGGAAGCCTAAAAGTATTTGGTTATAAATATACTTAAGTATCAAAAGTAAATGTATAAATAATTTCAAATTCCTTTTATTAAGCAAACCAGACGTCTTGTTTTGGGTGTCAGGCAAAATGTATGGAGTAAAAAGTACATAATTTGCTTTAGGAAGTAAAAGTAGTCAAAAATATAAATAGTAAAGTAGTCTACAGAATCCAGATCCCCCCCCAAAAAAATACTTTAGTATTTTTACACCACTGCATCCATGGCATGGTTTTCATTGAACAAACGGTTAGTAAACAATTGTTACAACTATTTCAACAATGTAGTTAGCACGGATTAAAATCTCGCTGAAATGCTTTTATATGAGGTTTAACGTTACTTACAAAAGTCTCTCGCACTCTGTTGTGGAAAAGTTGCTCTCTAACCGACACGTCGTCTACTTCCATCCTACGAAACCATAACGCATGGGTTAAAAGATAATACAACGTGGTTAAATGCGCTGTGACAGGACCATAAAACAACAAAGCGTCTCTCTCTGGTTAGAACATTGTAGCACGCTACCTACATTTATCCTAAACTAACGGCAAAACGAAGGTCATCCACCCTGTTTCAACTCTACTAGCAAGCATCACCGTCCACCGTGCGCGTTAAGCAAACAGGGCGGTCCGTGGGCGGGGATAGAGAAAAGGACGAACGGTCCAGGAGAGTGGTTAGATGTATTTTCTTGCTAACATCTTTCAAGATTCGAATTTACAGTTACATTTGTGACAGTAGATTAGAACACAGCTAATTCCAAACACAACATTGGGGAGGGGTGGCGGTGGGGGACCGCGCCTCTCCAATTAAATGTAAAAATCTGGTATTAATTGGTTGAATATTTCCCTACAGTATTTTGTGATTGGCAGATAAAACTTCGCTGTGAGCTGATTGGTCCAAGCATTGTTTCATGCAAATTGAACACGGTGTGACCCTGATGTTTTTATCAATGTATTTTCCTAGAATAAGATAATACATTTCTGAAGCATAATATTGACAGGAACATGAATGTACACACATTTGTTTACTTTCCACCACTATTAAAACATTGATAATATTCTGTCCCAAATTACCATATTTACTGTGCCTATTCAGGGCCCAGAAGGCCTATCAATTTCATTGTCACCATCCAAAGTCCATTACTGATGCAATAACAATCTCTAAACCACGGAAGAAGTTGTACTCCCAAGATTGATTTGTGTCGTAAGTTTTTATCTTTTACAAAATAACTCAAAATCATATTTATGTAAGTCTAATCAATGGTATATTCTATGGTTTATCAACAGTAAATTGATAGAGAATTTCATATACTGCAGTGATTCATTTTGTTCCATTAAAAAGGCTTGTTCTTGTTCTTATCAGTCCAGCTTTGTCATCATGTTATGGATCCGTAGAACCCAAAGTATACTGTTTTTACTGTTTATGAGTCCTTTAGTTGATCTGTGATAGACATTATCAGGTATCTGCTGCTCATAACATATTCATAGTGTGTATTATTTATCTTTTAGCTCTTATTCTGTCCCTTCGTTCTTCCCATTCCAAAACATTTACAAATGTTCAGAGAGCTACACTGAACAAAAATATAAACGCAACATGTAGTGTGGGTCCCATGTTTCATGAGCTGAAATAAAAGATCCCAGTCATGTTTCAGCATGATAATTCACGGCCCCATGTCGCAAGGATCTGTACACAATTTCTGAAAACTGAAAATGTCCCAGTTCTTCATTGGCTTGCATACTCACCAGACATGTCCCCCATTGAGCATGTTTGGGATGCTCTGGATCAACGTGTATGACAGTGTGTTCCAGTTCCCTCCAATATTGAGCAACTTTGCACAGCCATTGAAGAGGAGTGGGACAACATTCCACAGGCCACAATCAACAACCTGATCCACTCTATGCGAAGGAGATGTGTCACGCTGCATGAGGCAAATGGTGGTCACACCAGATAATGACTGGTTTTCTGATCCAAGCCCATACCTTTTTTTAAAGGTATCTGTGACCAACAGATGCATAGGCTATCTGTATTCCCAGTCATGTGAAATCCATAGATTTGGGCCTAATTTATTTATTTCAATTGACTGATTTCCTTATATGAACTGTAAGACAGTAAAATCTTTGAAATTGTTGCATGTTATGTTTATATTTTTGTTCAGTTCTAATTACATAATTAGGCTATGATAACTGTTACATAGTTACAATGTGTGTCATATTTATTTCCTTCAATGAAGACGTGTATGTATTTCCCTGAATGCTGTGTATGTTGTTGTATATCATCATTTTTGCTCATTACTTTCAGCCTGTGACTCAGTTACCCTTCTTTCATAAATAAACCTAATTTTGCTTATGAATTGCAGACTCGTCTTCAAGGATGACTGTTTTTCTTCTATAGTCCAAACATTGATCCACTGAGATCCTATCAGTCCTATCATCATGACGAAAAGTGTGACTGTCACCTATGCCTTATGGGCAATTGGTGGACCGTTGGGCCTTCATCACCTGTACTTAGGAAGAGACAGCCATGCCCTGCTATGGATGCTCACCCTTGGGGGCTTTGGAGTGGGCTGGGCCAGAGAGTTCTTTCGTATCCCTGCATACGTGGGAGAAGCCAACCGGGAGACAGAAGGAGGGTTAAGAGATGGGAGAAGGCACCCTGTAGCTAGACCTCCACCTGTGAGCGTTGCCAGATTTGCTGGTCAGATTTCCGTAGGGATCTATTTCGGAACGGTGGCACTGATCGGCCTGAACTCACTGAGTTTCTTCTACCTGATTGTACTGCCGCTGTGTGTGGGCGCCGGGGTCCACCTGGTTTCCAGTGTGGGAGAGCAGACAACTGACCTACACAAGACCCTCATAGCCTGTGTCATCACCTCCCCTATCTTCTATGGCAGCACCATCTCCCCTCTGCCCATCAGTATCGCTGCCAGCGTCACAGCGTCACAGCACCGCAGGTTCAAAACCCATCCACCTTCTGGGAGTCAACAAGAACTGGGTATGTAGACCATGGCCCATGAGTTTACATCTCCAACAAACTATGTTCCACTATTACAATAGGCCAAAGTCCATCCAAACCTGCCTATAAAGGCCTTTTACAGCACGTACTATCTATAAAGTACTATTGATGTTGTTGGCCCCGGAGGCCGTTACTATAGAAGACATGCAGATACTATTGCTGCGGCTATATAATAATAATAATAATAATATGCCATTTAGCAGACGCTTTTATCCAAAGCGACTTACAGTCATGCGTGCATACATTTTTGCATATCTATAGAGTAGTACAATATATTGTCCTTCCTATGTTTTCAGTCATAAAAAAACACTATTTTCTCTTGGTGACTAACGCTGGATAAACAATTCTCATCCTTGTTACTAATAATTGTATCCATATGTGTCTCTTTCTGTTGTCTGTAGGTCCTCGTCTGTACCGTTTGGCCCTAGTCTGGCTGGCATTCTCAGCTCCACTGGGGTACAGTATCTTCCACAACACCACAGCCACTCTCTACTACCTGTCTGACTGTGTGGCAGCCCTGCTGGAGATGTTCTGGTTCTTTCCCTGGCTCCGCTCGGTGGTGGAGTATTTCCTGCTGCTACCCTACAGGTACAACCATAACCACAACTGACTAGAAACAAACAAACAAACAAACAAACAAACAAATATAAGTTTAAGAAGTTGCTGAATGAATCTTTTTAGGGATAGGATTTTGTTCTTGTGCATGCGTTTGAGTATGAACCCAGGAAGGTTAGTCCTGAGGCTGGTGGGAGGAGCTATAGGAGGACTGACTCATTGTAATGGCTGGAATGGAATATATAGAATGGAGTCAAATGTGGTTTCCATATGTTTGATCTGTTTGATACCTTTCTATTAATTCCATTCCAGCCATTACAATGATTATGTCCTCCTATAGCTCCTCCCACCAACTTCCTCTGGTCCGATGTATAATGAGGATCTTTCAAACCTAAACTGAACTAAACTAAAACCTATAGGATACTGGGTGCTTTCACGGGCTGGGGCCCCTCGGAAGAGAGCTGGAGGAAAGTTTTGGAGATATTGCTCACAGAGCGCAGTCAGAGGGAGAGAGAGGCACTGCACGTGAGTATGACTGTGTAACATTGAAACATTGAGCTATAGCAGAGTGGTATATACCATTGATGCTGCTGCTCCTGGGGTAGTTACTATAGTGAGATACAATTGATGTGGCTGCCTTTGGTGCAGTTACAATAGCATACATGCAGTCACATACTATTGATGCTGCTGGTTGGCTACATTTTCTATATCTCAATGAGCATGCCCTTCTGTGCCTGCCCCATACTGTATATGTCTGTGTTGTGTTTCAGATGTTGTCAGTGAATAAGGATGCTTCTATGGAGGAGATAACACGTAGCTACAGAGAGCTGGTGAAGGTGTGGCACCCGGACCACAACCCTGGCAGCAAGATGGAAGAGGCACAGAAGATGTTTATACAGATCCAGGAAGCCTATGAGACTCTGCTCAGAGGACAGAAGCCTGATCATCGAAATAAGTGATTTCCCTCCTAGACCCCTGTCAACTCAAATGCCAATGAAGTGGCACAGACTTGGTCGTCCTCTCAGAGGATCAATTGTCATAATGTATTTTATCAAAGTCAAGAAGGTATACTTTCTAGATGCAGATTACATTTTGTAGTAGCCAGGTTGCTCTCTTTTTTTATTGATATGTATTTTATTCGATTTTCTCACACAAGCATGTCACACAGTTTCTTATAACAGGATTACAGCAGCATAGCAATGTTGTAAACAATTTCATGTTGTTCGACAGCTGTACATTGGGGTTGATGTTAAAACATATATTCTGTATCCAACCTGTTGATAATAGTGACTCCAATATTTAGGTTGCTCTCTTATAATAATACAAATAAATTGCTGCCATCTTGTGGTGAATTGTAGAACGCCAACTATAATGATTGTCAATTAATATAATAGAAAAATGCTCTCTAGACCAGTACCCATACATCACACCTTTCTGATTCAAAATATATACTTTTTGATGCCTCAATAAATCTGCTGTTTTCCACATCTTTAACTATCCTGTGCATCGATGTTTTCGGCAATCACTGGCTGCTGATCAGGTTATGGTCGTCTTCTCTAGACGTTGCATGTATCAACCAATGGTTGCGTGCCACGTCATCGACTGTGCCGCCGGGCACCAAATTGCTATAACATTTGATGTGGTTAGCTTATAGGTAAAACCTATCCAGGCGTTATAAGACCTGGTTTGCGTCAGCAACGCCTGGGCAGAGGAACGCGCCCACATTGTATGCTATTCGGCCTGTATGCCAGCGGTCAGTGCTATCGGTGCTCCTTAGGACGTCCCAACCTAAACCTAACCTAACCTTAACCATTTTAAATGTCAACTTCAATGGGTTGTGGAGGTCCCAAGGATCCCGGGTTGCACGGTCCCAACATGGGCCCGGAAGTTGTCAGGTAAAAGACAGACCCGGAGATGCTGCCGTCGCCAGAGACAACAAACAGATATTCTGACATTTAAAAACTACAACAATAGTCGTTCGCCAGGTAAGGAAGAGGGTGACGCACTTGTTAACAACAGCGTTTAGTCAAAGAAAGTAAAATGTTGGCAAGGATGTGTTTCGGGCTAGTTTAGGTAGGCTGGACAATAGAACGAATCAAATTTCACTGAAAAACGGCCAAAGAGCGTTGGTTGAGCTGGAACACTAGCGCGAGGCCATAGCAAATGAATTGAAACGAACCTTCCCTTAGCCTCTTTTGAATGGAATGATCCTTAGAATTCAATTTTCCATAAATGGCACCAAAAAATGTATACCTTTTCATTTTACTACTACAATCTGTTCTTAGGACGAAACTGAAAAATAACAACTCGTGTAGAAAGTAAACATCGGCAACTCAATGGTGCCAAGTGTGCTCATGTCTGCATAATGAGGAAGTTGGAAAATAATGGCAACTTCTGACTATTTCTGGTTAGCGATCGATGACAGTGGAGTACGCTGCCCAGCCTTACATAATTAGAAAGAGGAGATTATCCTGATTAAAATGATGTCCTACTTGAAAAAATCAAAATATACACATTGCGAGATATTTGGCGAAATAGACATATGTCTGTGTAGTATTTTCCCATAGGGAAACAATGGGGCAGCCTCAGAGTTCCAACAATAATGTATACTTTTTTACATTTGAAATGCTAGCTTTTGATGACAACGGAGTACGCTGCCAAGCTTTACATAATTAGAAAGAGGAGATTATCCTGATTAAAATGGTGTCTGACTTGAAAAAATCAAAATACACATTGCGAGTTATTTAGTGAAATAAACAGACATATCTATATTTCCCCTATAGGAAAAAGGGACGGCCTCAGAGTCCCAATAGTATTTTTGTTTGTTTGACGTTTTAACTACCAGCAATTGGTAACAGCATTATAAGCTGCCCAAATTTACATAATTATAAATAATAGGTTAACCTGATTTTAAAATGGTGTAGAACTTCAAACCAATAAAATACATACATTTTGAGATATTTGGCGAAATAGACAGACATGTCCCTATTTCCCCAAAACAATGGCAGTCTGAAAGTTTATTTAACCAGTTTACCATTTATCTGCTGCTATTTGCCTTTTTTGTGTTATAAATTTTGTGGTTTGAACTAGGCCTCTATGTGAAAGCGTGGCAATAACTTATTAACTTCTCATTATTCACAGATTTACTTCTCTGATGACATGACAGGCAGCACACCTGAATCTCAGCGAAGGCTCTTTTAAGAGCTACCAGATTTATTTAAAAAAAGCAAATGTTCTGTGTCCAGTGTCTGTGTTTATATGTTAAGGGGGTGTTACTTTGGCATATAATGTTACCCATGTAAAGAAAGTGTTCTTAAAATAATTTTTATTTTATGGTTGTAAGTGATAAAATGAACTAGCAAATATTTTATATATAACCATTCTGAGTAATTACTACTTCAGTAAGGATATACACTTTATTCAGTGACCTTATGTATAGAAACGTTGATGGTATGATCAGATTGTTAAAGAAAATGAATGAACTGCAATTAGTAAATCATTCCAATAGATGGCAGCATAAGACCACAAATGACATTTCAGAAGCTCAGTTTTCTACCTGGATACACCACTCCCCCCCCACCCCTTTCCTTCACAGGAAAACTCCCGCGCTCTTTTTCTGTCCGTTTCCACACTGCTAACACAAGAGGAAGGACTGAAAAAGCTTGTAACAGATTACTGTGAAGTAATATAATGATGAGTCATGTTTATTATTACCTGTTTTTATACTCATGTTTTGAAATTATACTTCATTACTATAACGATTATCAATAAGCCTGAACATTAATTCAGTCACCTCTGGTCGACAAAAACGTATTTTCCTAGTACACTCATTGTCAAATTCATCAACCAGCATCGAGCCGCTCTGCCTTCTCGCACAAGTAGCCAACTCTACAAGGCCCGCCAAAAGCTCGTACTGTCAGCGGCAGCGATCACTCTGTCTTCTCGCGCAAGCGAAGGGCATGTTAAGGTAAATTTGTTAACTGCGAGGGTTGCGTCATGTAATTTATTCGCGGGCTGTTGAAGATGCAATCTTTTGTGTTTTCTGTTACAAGAGATATTAAGATGGTTATATGATGCATGTATACTAGAGTTGCGCATCTGACTGGTGATTATTTGGCCGGGGTTCAATACCTACTGGTTATTTATTTTTTGCCCTCCCAAAAGCAACACAGGCCTAATACGAGATATATATATATGGACATGGATATGTGTATATATGTGTGGGTGTGTGTAGTCCCTTGTAGCTCAGTTGGTAGAGCATCGCGCTTGCAACGCCAGGGTTGTGGGTTCGATTCCCACGGGGGGCCAGTATGAAAAAAAATAAAATAATGTATGCACTCACTAACTGTAAGTCGCTCTGGATAAGAGCGTCTGCTAAATGACTTGTGTGTGTATATATATGTACACACACATATACAGTGGTGTGAAAAAGTGTTTGCCTGATTTCATGTTTGTCACACTTAAATGTTTCAGATCATCAAACAAATGTAAATATTTGTCAAAAATAGTTTTGAAATGAAGGTTGTTACTATTAAGGGAAAACAAAATCCAAACCCACATGGCCCTGTGTGAAAAAGTGATTGCCCCCTACAACCTAATAACTGGTTGGGCCACCCTTAGCTGCAATCAAGCGTTTGCGATAACTTGCAATGAGTCTTTTACAGCGCTGTGGAGGAATTTTGGCCCACTCATCTTTGCAGAATTGTTGTAATTCAGCCACATTGGAGAGTTTGAGCATGAACTGCCTTTTTAAGGTCATGCCACAGCATCGCAATATGATTCAGGTCAGGACTTTGACTAGGCCACTCCAAAGTCTCCATTTTGTTTTTCTTCAGCCATTCAGAGGTGGACTTGCTGGTGTGTTTTGGATCATTGTTCTGCTGCAGAACCCAAGTTCGCTTCAGCTTGAGGTTACGAACAGATGGCCGGATATTCTCCTTCAGGATTTTTTGGTAGACAGCAGAATTCATGGTTCCATTTATCACAGCAAGTCTTCCAGGTCCTGAAGCAGCAAAACAGGCCCACACCATCACACTACCACCACCATATTTTACTGTTGGTATGATGTTCTTTTTCTGAAATGCGGTGTTACTTCTACGCCAGATGTAATGGGACACACACCTTCCAAAAAGTTCCAACTTTTGTCTCGTCAGTCCCCAGAGTATTTTCCAAAAGGTCTTGGGGATCATCAAGATGTTTTCTGGCAAAAATGAGACGAGCCTTAATGTTATTTTTGCTCAGCAGTGGTTTTCGTCTTGGAACTCTGCCATGCAGGCCATTTTTGCCCAGTCTCTTTCTTATGGTGGAGTCATGAACACTGACCTTAACTGAGGCAAGTGAGGCCTGCAGCTCTTTGGATGTTGTGGGGTATTTTGTGACCTCTTGGATGAGTTGTCGCTGCGCTCTTGGGGTAATTTTGGTCGGCCGGCCACTCCTGGGAAGGTTCAGCACTGTTCCATGTTTTCGACATTTGTGGATAATGGCTCTCACTGTGGTTCGCTGGAGTCCCAAAGCTTTAGAAATGGCTTTATAACCTTTTCCAGACTGATGGATCTCAATTACTTTCTTTCTCATTTGTTCCTGAATTTCTTTGGATCTCGGCATGATGTCTAGCTTTTGAGGATCTTTTGATCTACTTCACTTTGTCAGGCAGGTCCTATTTAAGTGATTCCTTGATTGAGAACAGGTGTGGCAGTAATCAGGCCTGGGCGTGGCTAGAGGAATTGAACTCAGGTGTGATAAACCACAGTTGAGTTGTGTTATAACAGGGGGGGCAAACACTTTTTCACACAGGGCCATGTAGGTTTGGATTTTGTTTTCCCTTAATAATAACAACCTTCATTTCAAAACTGCATTTTGTGTTTACTTGTGTTATCTTTGACTAATATTTAAATTTGTTTAATGATCTGAAACATTTAAGTGTGACAAACATGCAAACAAATCAGGACGTGGGCAAACACTTTTTCACACCACTGTATATACAGTGGGGTAAAAAAGTATTTAGTCAGCCACCAATAGTGCATGTTCGCCCACTTAAAAAGATGAGAGGCCTGTAATTTTCATCATAGGTACACGTCAACTATGACAGACAAAATGAGAAAAAAAAATCCAGAAAATCGCATTGTAGGATTTTTAATGAATTTATTTGCAAATTATGGTGGAAAATAAGTATTTGGTCAATAACAAAAGTTTCTCAATACTTTTATATACCCTTTGTTGGCAATGACACAGGTCAAACGTTTTCTGTAAGTCTTCACAAGGTTTTCACACACTGTTGCTGGTATTTTGGCCCATTCCTCCATGCAGATCTCCTCTAGAGCAGTGATGTTTTGGGGCTGTCGCTGGGCAACACAGACTTTCAACTCCCTCCAAAGATTTTCTATGGGGTTGAGATCTGGAGACTGGCTAGGCCACTCCAGGACCTTGAAATGCTTCTTACGAAGCCACTCCTTCGTTGCCCGGGCGGTGTGTTTTGGATCATTGTCATGCTGAAA